AAAAGATTGTAATTAGTCGCTTTTTTTTATACCCTATATTTACCGGTATTTTACTTTTTTTATATTTTATGAATCTTTAAGTGTCAAATATAATACAATAAAATTAAATATATTATTTTATTTTTATTGATCGAAAAAAAAAAAATTAAACCTTCTAAGTAAATTGTCAACTCTAAACGAAAATTTTAACTTGGCCCCTAGTCATAATTTATGGAGTCTAAGTGCAATTTGCATTTTTCTTTTGTTCAAGAAAAAAGGGATCGTGTCGAATATTCCACTTGCTAGCCAACCCATCCTTCGCTGTCCATGGTAGTTGTAAGGGGGTCGGTGAATATTTTAGTTACCTCCTAGTTCTATGTATGAACACTAATAAGATATGGTTTGAGTTATAAGATATGGTTTGGGTTTATTATATTATATTGGAGGTTCTTAAAGTATGATGTTTCTTTTATTTTAATTCTTAATATTTTAATTTTATTATTTTAGTCCCTGAAATATTGAATATATATTTTTATCTGATCCCTTAAACAGACAACATCTAGATTGTTAATAATTTTTAATTATAAACTTGTCATGCAATTCCTAAATATGGGTAAAAAAATAATTTGAATTTCTATCCAAATTTTGGTCAAAGAATTATTCAAACTACACAGTTTTGATCATAAACTAACCAAATTTTATTCAATAGCTATCCATATTACACTTTTTTTGTCGAGAATTACCCAAATTATTTTTTACTCATATTTAGATATCATATGACAAGTTTATAATAAAAAATCGTTAGCAATTTAAATATTATTTGTTTGAGGAATCACATAAAAACATATTTAATACTTTCACGGATCAAAATAATGCAATTAAAATAAGAAAAATTATCTACTTTGAAAACCTCCGATACAATTTACCTATAATTTTTTCCTCTTTAAAACCAAATGTGTATTTCACGTGGTAATATTTTTCTCTATAAAATGAAACAGCCGCTTTATTCAAGAATTACCAAGATTTAGAGTTGTTAGTGGGCTTGTTTAGGTTATTTGATAACATCACTTTAGGGTTAAAATTAAATATTTTAAGCGATTGATAAATTACACTTATTTGATAACCTAAAATTCATATCACTTAATATCTTAAGTACTTTTTAAAAATAAATTAAAATTTGAAATAACAAACCACTTATTTATCACTTAATGCTAAAAATCTTAGGTAGTACAAATTTTATCGATTCCACATAATTGACAAATATAGCATCGTTGCATTTTACNCAATACTTTCACAGATCAAAATAATGCAATTAAAATATTGTGAATTAAAATAAGAAAAATTATCTACTTTGAAAACCTCCGATACAATTTATCTATAATTTTTTCCTCTTTAAAACCAAATGTGTATTTCACGTGGTAATATTTTTCTCTATAAAATGAAACAGCCGCTTTATTCAAGCATTACCAAGATTTAGAGTTGTTAGTGGGCTTGTTTAGGTTATTTGATAACATCACTTTAGGGTTAAAATTAAATATTTTAAGCGATTGATAAATTACACTTATTTGATAACCTAAAATTCATATCACTTAATATCTTAAGTACTTTTTAGAAATAAATTAAAATTTGAAATAACAAACCACTTATTTATCACTTAATGCTAAAAATCTTAGGTAGTACAAATTTTATCGATTCCACATAATTGACAAATATAGCATCGTTGCATTTTACACCTCACTTTTCAATACCTACCATCCACTACCACTACCACCACCATTGTAATGTCGTCGCCCCCACCAATGTTTTATCGCCAACACCATCACTGGTGTGTCATCACCACTGCCACCACAATTATGATACTACTATCGCCATCACCACTATCACCGCTATTGTCACCATCATTATCACCGCTATTGTCACCACCACCACTATTACTGTCATTGTCACCATCATTGCGTCGCGCCACCACCAACATCATCATCATTGTCACCACCATTATGCCATCAACACAATCATCGGCGGTGATAGGAATAAGATAGTTTAAAAAAATAGCAAAATTANCCGCTATTGTCACCATCATTATCACCACTATTGTCACCACCACCACCATTACTGTCATTGTCACCATCATTGCGTCGCGCCACCACCATCATCATCATCATTGTCACCACCATTATGCCATCAACACAATCATCAGCGGTGATAGGAATAAGATAGTTGCAAAGATAGTTTAAAAAAATAGCTAAATTAAAATAATAATAATTTTTAGACTTTAATTATTTATATTTTTCAAACAATTTAATTCAATTCAATACTTAAATTTCAGTTGATACCAAACAGTTTACAAATTAAAAAATTTAACATCCAGCGCTTAAAATTTAACATTCAATTTTTAGTGTTCAACTTTCAATTTTATCAAATGCCACTTCAGTTAAAATTTAAATTTGAATTGAAAACTCAATGCAATTTGATGGATTTTATTTTTGCAGTCATATAATAATATAGTATTAAAAATCGAATATGGATATTCGATTCAATCTGAATAACTCAATCATACCCTAATTTTATTATACATGAATTTCAATNAGAATATAGATATTCGATTCAATCTGAATAACTCAATTATGCCCTAATTTTATTATACATGAATTTCAATAAATTCCTTCATTATTATATAGATAATTTTAGATTAAATAAAGGATTAGCACATTTAAATTTGAATCTGTAAAATATAATAGAATGAATTCAAATTCGTATGACCAACAAAAACTTCAATCTAGACCCAACTAATTGAACCCATTTTTAAATTCGAATCAAAATTCAATAATTTAACTAGTCTACTCAAAGTCAGTTATTCCATTATTCCATTATGACCTTCGAAGTTCTCAGTATGGACAATTAAAAAAATGCTGTTTGTTTCGAGAGGGAAAAAAAAAAAAAAAACAAAGAGGGGCACGTTTAATTATATGTTTTGTCTGTTCAAACAACCAACACCCACAACCACCAGTCAACTCTTTTTCATGTGCACCTTAGAAATTGAGTGCTGAGAGCTATCCTCGGTCTAGGCTTCAATTAATATTTCAGTGTGAACACTTGTGGAATTGAATTTTCCCACAAGTCAACTCGGTCTAGAAATATGATTTTTCTTTTTTCGTGCTGTTGCTTGCTTGTCTTCTCAAATCACTTATATATGTCTTGTGTTTCCCTTCAAAGATTTAAAACCGGACTACTTCATTCGATGATCACTTCCTACTCATCTCTTTCAACTGCAATCTCAAATGGTGAATATTCTCTCTCTCTCTCTCTCTCTCTCTCTCACACTCACACGCACACACACACGTAAATTGATCATCATATGTTAATGGGAGTATAATATAGTTATTTTCCTTTCATCAACGATCATCCCGTTGTTTTTAAATAGGATTAGTTGCTCATATTTTACCAAATTTAAAAGATTAGTTTATCAGTGATATATTAGTTGCAGGGTAATATTGGTTGCGGGTATTTTTTTTCATTCTAAAAAATAAGAGATTTATGTACAAAACTTTTTTTCCCAAGCACTTTTATACAATTAAGTGTTATATTTAGGGGGAAAAAGGGGAGGAAAATAGAAACAGCCTTACATTCCTGTAAAAAATAAAACCCTTACTTGTGTGGCGCGAAACACACTATTATCAACTACTAAAAGGTTTCACCAGAGAACCCATTCTTAGCTGAAGTTTTTGCTTGGTTGAGCTGGAAAACCTCACAATGCTTATAGTCGGTGCATTCGGGTTAGTTTTATTTATTGTATTTTTTATATGTTTGTGTTTTGTTTTTAATTACATAAACAATTTTTTGTGTTGGTGTTTAATATATTTGTATGTTTAGTATCATCCCTAAGTAATGTATCAAATTGATTTCATCCCAACAAAATGTTCATTCTTTGTTAATATATACCTAAAGATTGAGTATACAATTAAAGGCAGGGGCGGAGCCAGAAAATCATGTCAGGGTGAGTATAAATATTTCAACAAACTAAATTTTGTTTTTTTACAATCAATAGAAATCGGACAATAATTTATATTTAATTATATCTTATTTAATAAAATTTATTAAACCCAAGATACCAAAATTTGGTAAGCTTAGTATATACAAACGACACCAAATTTTTTTTTTTTACAAAATATAGGCTAATTAAAATCATTTAGAATCGACTCGATAAATTTTTTAAACTTTGAAACCGTTGTACAACAATTTTATTATTTTTTATATATACTATCATTTTATTACTTTGGTCTTTATATACATAACATGTCCAAAATGTGTTAAAAAAATTCATATTTATTTGATATATGTGTACACTAATTGATGTGCCAAAAAAAAAGGTGAGCATAATTAAAAATATTGAAGAAATACTTAAAATACATATATGTAATGCTAAGAAAAATTTGAGGGTGGACATGTGCTCCCCTAGGCAAATGCTGGCTTCAGTCATGCTCTCTACTAAACTCATCAACTGTGCAATGAACGACAAAAAAACTCAAAAAATTGAATAAGGAGCTTTCCTATGTTTCTTCTAGTTGAGCAACTGGTGGTAGTGAGTGAAATAGAGAGGAAAAAAAAAAAAAGTAATAAGATAGGTGTTATTGATGTCTGTCAAATGAATCAAAAACTTTGTTTTTTAATGGTGAACCAAAAATTTTATTTTTTTAATAGGTTTGAGTGAATTGTGATAGGTGAAAGATTTAATTTTTTAATAAATTTTGATAAATAGTGGCGGGCTCAAATTTTTTTATTTTAAATAGTCTTAATTTTTTTTATTTTTTTCAATATATAATGTGGACCTAATATTTTTATCTTAGATTTTAAATGGGCACAAATAATATAGTATTATACAAATATATAATAATTATACTTAACTAATAAAAAAACAAATTTTGAGGGGGCACGTGCCCACCCTGCCCTAGCCTCCCTTCGCCCTTGATTAACGGAATAACTCTTTGTTGTTTTTGTGTTCGATTTACTAGGATTTCAACTCGATGGATGCATATAGTAAAGCTTCAAGAAGTGCCGAAATAAGCATGAGAGGGAACAAGAAAACAAGTGAAGTGGTTCTGAATATCTCCACTGAAGAAAAAGAGGCTAAAAATTCATACCCAGATGCTTCAAACGACCATAGGTCTAAAGGAACTGTTGATTCACCGCAGAGAGTATCGATAGATTCTCATTCGGATGTTCCACTTTCTGTGCCAATGAGCCATCCTTCGCCTGAGATTGGCCGGTTGAGTCCCAGCGCCAACAGGCCTCCCAAAATCCCCACCACCGAAACACCCGCTCGACGGGAACAGCTGTCGAGGTCAGTGTTTTCAAAACCCAAGTCAAGATTTGGTGAACAGCCTGTGGTTATTGATTCCAATTTGTTTGAAGAACTACAACAGGAAACTGAACTGTCTAATACGGCTACGCCTAGTAGTAAAACGGGTTTTAGTACTAATCCAGCACCAAATGAGCCTAGTAGGCCGATGTCATTTTCTCCCAAGTCGCCGTTAATTGCATCTCAAGTTGGTTTGGTAGGAGGAGGAGAGGCTAACAAGCCATCTGTAGAGGTGAGTAACAAGGAAAGAAAGAAGTTTAAGAGAATGGCAATAAAAATTTCGATTGAAGGCGTTATGTTTCTTTGGATTTTAGGGTGTTTAGTTGCTACCTTGACTATTGATGGATTAAATGAAAGGATGATGTGGGGTTTTAATGCCTGGAAATGGATTGTGCTTGTAATGGTAATGGTTAGTGGGATGTTCGTTACCAGGCGGATAATTCGTCTTCTTGTTTTTTTTATTGGGAAAAACTTTTTGGTCAAAGAGAAGGTAATGTATTTCGTTCATGGATTGAAGAATAGTGTTCAGGTCTGTATTTGGGTGAGTGCGATTCTTGTCACTTGGGTTTTGTTGTTCAAGAATAAGGTCAAGCAGTCACATAATGTGACTCAGATTTTGGATCGTATTACTTGGACTATTGTTTCTATGCTCATTGGCGCCTTCTTATGGCTCTTAAAGACTTTGCTGATAAAGATTTTTGCATTATTTTTCCATGTCAATAAGTTCTTCGATAGGATTCATCAGTCAATCGTCAGTCACTACGTAGTGCAGATTCTAACAAGGTCTCCACTTGTACCCTTGTCTACAAAGAAAAAAGAGAGAACTAGTTTTGACTCTATTTTCAAGAGAAACAATAAGGGAGAGAAAAAGGAGGAGAAAGAGTTGGTCTATATACCTCATCCTCACGAAATTAAGCAAAAANTGTAGTGCAGATTCTAACAAGGTCTCCACTTGTACCCTTGTCTACAAAGAAAAAAGACAGAACTAGTTTTGACACTATTTTCAAGAGAAACAATAAGGGAGAGAAAAAGGAGGAGAAAGAGTTGGTCTATANTTACATTTTAAATCTTCTTTTTTTCACTTATTTTTTGTAGTTTGTAAATCTAGTCTTGTGCTTTTTGGAGCCCTAGATGAAGGCCTCACTCACCTACGTTCCAAATCTGTGGTTTTAANAGGTGTTCATTGATGCGATTTGTAATTCTGGTCATTACACTATGTCAAGTGCGCTCGGTGAAAGTAATGATGATGAAGGCGGAAAAGACACTGATGAGACGACTAGAATTGGCAAGGAAGCAGCTATAAGTNTGGTGTTCATTGATGCGATTTGTAATTCTGGTCATTACACTATGTCAAGTGTGCTCGGTGAAAGTAATGATGATGAAGGCGGAAAAGACACTGATGAGACGACTAGAATTGGCAAGGAAGCAGCTATAAGTGCCAATAACATCATCAAAAATATTGCTGGCGATGCTAACAAGTAAGAAATTCTATATTTTAATTTGTTTTCTTGTGTACGTTGGTGCACATCTTATAGCCACTTCCATCATATGTAGCATTCCTTCAAAAATGTTTTGTACTTGTAGGTACATTACAAAAAGTGATCTACAAAAATTCATGATCGACGAGCATATGAATATTGTGTTACCAATGATGGATGTGGCGCAGACTGGAAAAATCTGCAACCAAGCTTTAGCAGAATGGCTGGTTAGCCTTTCTTTTATTCCCCCCCCCCCC